CATGTAAAAACAAGAAGCACATGTTTATCTGGTTAGATGTGGAAAAAGCTTTTGATAAAATCCAACCTCAAACATCTAGGTATAGAAAGAACATAACCCAAAGGAGTAAGTGCAATCTATGATAAACCCACAGCTAACATATTGCTAAATGAACAGAAACTGGAAACATTTCCCCTGAAAACTGGAACAAGACAAGGCTGCCCACTCGTATCCCTCTTGTTCAGCATTGTGTTGGAAGTCCTAGCTTGGGCAATTAGGCAAATGAAGGAAATCAGGGATATCCAAATAGGAAAAGAAGAAGTCAAGTTATCCCTGTTTGCTGATGATAAGATCCTAAATCTTTTTTTTTTTTTTTTTTGAGTTGGAGTCTCACTCTGTCGCCCAGACTGGAGTGCAGTGGCCGCTCCCGGCCACCGCAGCCTCGACCTGCTGGGCTCCGGCGATCCTTCCGCCTCAGCCTTCCAAGGAGCTGGAATTACCGGCATGCACTACCACGCCCGGCTGATTTTTAATTCATCTTTTTAAAACTCCCTGTACTCGTTATAAACAATAGATGCCTCGTACAGTGTACTTCATAAATGTGGGTGGAATGGACGAGGGAAATTACAAAGGAGGGAAACCATTTTATTTTTTAACTGGGAAAAGACATTAAGAAGATGCATTAAATTTGGTCCAAATTTAACTAAAAACAACAAAAAACTCAGTCACTCTTACATTCAATTGAATTGTGTATTAATTTTTTGGGCCTAACTCTCTGCTTCAGATCTGTTCATCCTCCTTAGTTTAAAGTTCAAATCCATGTTTAAGACCCAGCAATTTTGCTCAAAGCATCTTACGTGTTGGTTTATGTGTTAAAGTCTTAAAAGTCATCTCTCCTCTCCTCAGTTCTCTTCCCCAGTTCTGTCACTTCCCTTCTCATCTCCTCTCCTCTCTTCTTCCCTCTCTCCTCACCCCTCCCCTCCCACCTCCGCCCCTCCCTCCCTTCTCCCCTCCCTCCCTTCTCCCCTCCCCTCTCTCTCCTTCTCCCCCTCCCCTTTCCTATCTCTTTTGCTTTTGCTAGCCAGGGAATTTTTAAGATTCTCCTCAAAGGGATGTCCAGCATTTAAAAGAGGTAGAAAGCTAAAATGCTTGGTGGAGAAATCATGCCCACCTGGTCTTTTCTTTATCCTCACACCCCTGGGTGTCCCCTGAGCTGCAGGAACCCAGGGTTGCCAGATATAACAAATAAAAATACAGGATGCCCAGTTACATTTGTATTTCAGGTAAACAACAAATAATGTTTTAATGTAAGTGTGTCCCATGCAATATGTGGGTGTCCAAATATGATCTGGGTCCTAGGGTGTTCCCTAGGCCAGGGCCAGCTTCATGGGGAGGGACATGTGCTGTGGGCCTGACACCCAGAAGGGCCCATACCTGGATTAATGCTCTGTTCTCACCATCTTACAATTCTCAGTCACTTTTGAACCAGGGGTCCTGCATTTAAATTTTGCACTGGGCTCCAAACTATGCACCTAGTCCTGCCTAAGTCTGCTTGGAGCGTGATTTGGGACAATGCCATGAGTACTAACCCTTTGAGTGAACCCATCACCGTGTGTGGTACAAACCCAAGTGCAGCCCCACTGCCTGGATACAGAATGGATATCTGGTGCTTTTTCCTAAGGAATTATATTTTTCTATTCCAATTGGCTCCTAGTATTTCTACCTTGGCAGCAAACCCTACTTGTTAGACTTTTTAATCCAAATTTTACTGTACCTAGCATAAATCAGTGAAATACTTACTGTGTAGAAATGCTAGTTGCTTCATAGATGTCTTGAAAAGTGATTTGACCTAAAGAATAACTTTTATTGGTGTTACATAATCAGTGTTGCATGATGCTTATGATACTGATTGCAAACGCATGCTTATGATGTCATCATTCTGCACAATAGCTAAGACTCATAGTTTCCAAACGCCGGCTGTAGATTCACTTGATTCGTCCTGCAGATGGGACCTTTTTTAAAAGAAAAGAACATGGCTGTTCTGACAACTCATGGAGTTCCCTAGAGTTCTCTTAACAAAGTGGCTCCTGAGCAGGTGTATAAGAAAAGATATGGTATAGAACTGGAGACCTGTATAAAAATCCACAGAAACAGCACCCACAATCACCTGGAAAGAAGCAGTATAGCAAGTTGTCTGAAGAAAATCTGGTATAAGTAAAATATCAGATTTAGATAAGGATATAATCACTTGCATTGCAAAAAAAGTAAGTTTCTCTTTACAAAATTATCTACTACTATATCCATTTAAAATAATGAAGTCTATACCATCAAAATGTTTAATGAATAGAAATGTCATTAAATTTCTTGGTTTTGGTAATAACTATGGCTAAGAGATCACTTTTGGAGGAATATGGGTGATGGCTGGGGAGAAACAGTCTGATATTTTAACTTTGCAACTTCTGTGAGTCTGTAATTATTTTATAATAAGAGAGTCAGTACTTTTATTTATATATGCTACATAGTATATTATAATATATTTGGAAACACATCTATGAGATGAAACAAGCACGTGTTGGATGCATGCTCAGTCTAGGTGATAACTAGTCTGTCTTTTCCTCTCTCTGGTAATTTATCAAATAAAGGACTGGACCTAGAGACTGTAATGACCAAATCCCATGGTAGCTGATAGCTTAAATCACTTAATCTTTCACCAAGGGGGCATCAACAGCAGAAAATAAACTTATTTTTAAAGCCATGTTTCTTGTCTCATGACCTAGATAAGGAGCAAAGATCCAAAATAAGTAATCTGCTTTTGTGATATTAGCCAGAACCCAGTTCATCTTCCTTTTCTTTTAAGTTTAGCACCTGAACTTGATTATTAAGTCATTCTAATTTCAGTTCTAATGTGAGTGAGTTTTCCCAATTTAAGTTGCTTAAATGGAAAAGGTGGAAGTAGTGACAGAAATTAAAAGAGATCATGAAATAATTTGATATATTGGACGAGGTTTTGAGAACAGGAAGGAAACTTGTGTATTCCTTCCCTCATTCAAAGATGATTCCTCACCTCCCGACTCTGTGCTGTGCATTGTCTGATGGAACAAGGATGAACACACTCTGACCTCCAGGCACTTCCTTTCCAAGTTGCAGAAAGACAATAAGCCAGGAAACAAGTTGTGCTCTATCACACCGGGTGACAATAAATACTGTGGAGATGAAAGTAAGGGAAAGCTATGAGGTGGGAATCAGGGAAAGCAGTTTGTTAATACTTGGAATGATGTTGCTTTTGCAGAAGGAGGGAGATAGATTTACAGCCATCATAAATTTAATAGATAAGCAAAAACAAAAACATGTAGATGTTAATCATGGTGTTAGTGAAACGGAGCTTGATTGCTTTATCATTTTAATTTTAATTCTACTTAAAGCTAGTTTATTTTTTCCAACCCTGGCAGAGCTTGATTCTCACACTAATTTTGTATAGCAGCAGCCATAAAAATATTCATGTTCTTTGACCCATAATACAGTGATTCTCAGTCCTACTGGACCTAATGCCCTCTTTTTGACAATATATATTTTGTAACATTCCCTTTACAATCCAGAAATAAAATCATAGATCACATAACCTATCTAGAGACATAATTTCAATAATTCAAGAGAAGATTTCGAGGAAACAAAGGGAAGTGAATACAAGCATTGTAAGACATAATAATGCCTACATCTACACACAGAATTACCATGGCAGCCTCAGCTGCAGACGGAGATCCAGGATTATGGACCAGTCACAACTGGGCACACTGCAGGTTGCCATGGCAACCGGAAAGGAGAGGATGGCTTAGTCACTCGCTAAAGGAGAGGATGGCTGAGTCACCTGCACTGACCTAAAGCGCCCCTAGCTTCAAGGGGGTGGGGGAGTTTAATCCTGCCATAGGCCTGGTACTGCGAGAACCTGAAAGCTTTGTTGTCACTGAGTTGGACTCTGGACTCTCAATTGCCTGCATGTGTTTGACCACATGGCCTTCAACAGGATACTGGTGTGATGCAGTCCTCTTTTGGCTGAGACTGTCCCATGCATTGCATGCCTGGCTCTGCCTATCAATCCTAATAAAGCTCCCCCAGACAAAAATGCCATGACAAGTTTTCAATATCCCTCTCACAGGCAGAGTGATCCTCTTTAGGAACCTCTGTGTCAAACTCATGGACATTTATTCTTAGTAATTCAAAAAAGGACAATGCTATTTGACTGTATTGATATCAAGGCTATTATGGCAGTACAAAATTGAAAATTACCTAAATGCCCAACCAGATAGAAATGTGTAGGTAGCTATGACTTACTGAAACATAGAAAACTATATAGCCATTAGGCCGGGTGCTGTAATCTCAGCATTTTGGGAGGCCAAGACAGGTGAATCACTTGAGCTCAGGAGTTTGAGATCAGCTTAAGCAACATAACAAGACCTTATCCCCACAAAAAATAAAAAAAATTAGTTGGGAGTGGTGGCGTGTGTCTGTAGTACCAGCTACTCAGGAGGCTGAGGCAGAAAGATCACATGAGCCCGTAGGAGTCAAGGTTGCAGTGAGCCATGATCATGCCACTGCGCTCCAGGTTGGATGACAGAATATGGCACCCAGCCTAAGTGACAAAGTGAGACCCCATCGAGAAAGAGAGAGAGAGAGAGAGAGAGAGAACAGATCAGCTATCTGGTCCACAGAAGGCAAGCAGATTTCATCTGAAGTGTTCACTAAAATAATTGGTCCCAGGAACGATGTTAGAGGCTGATGCAAGCAAAGGGAGAGTGGTCAGTAGTTAGTGAAGTGGGCCACGAGGTGGCATAAAGAGTGGTGTGATAAGTGCCCTACATTTGCCATGGGGAAATGGGGACTCCTGAAAAGATGAGGTCTTGTATTTGATCCCTTCCAAGGAGTGTGCTAGACTTTATCTAACTGCAGTATTTAAAGATACTCTGGCTTTTTTTTTTTTTTACATTGCTGAGACCTGGCTGATGAGTGATAAACTCTTTTCACAGGTTGTAGGGCGAGAACTGTTGGCCCAATACACCAAACAGTATGAAGAAAAGCCACTCTTTGGCTTGCTCCAAACCTGGGCTGAGTCTGTGGGGGACAAGCTGAGAACCAGGTACGTATTTTTCAGGCGTTCAACCTCACCTGCCATTGGTGTCTTACCACTGAGCCTGAGTTTATAGAGCCTTGATGTGGCACAAGTCATTCTTGCTAGAAATTTCAAATATACCCGGGCTCGGTGGCTCAGCCTGTAATCCCGTGCCTTTGGGAGGCTGAGGTGAGTGGATTGCCTGAGCCTGCGGGTTCAAGACCCGCCTAGGCAGCGAGACCTCATCTCTACAATAAATCAAAAAATCAGCCGGGCATGGTAGCGCATGCCTGTAATTCCAGCTACTCAGAAGGCTGAGGCGGAAGGGTCGCTGGAGCCCAGCAGGTCAAGGCTGCGGTGGCCAGGAGAGGCCACTGCACTCCAGTCTGGGTGACAGAGTGAGACCCCAACTCAAAAAAAAAAAAAATTTCAAATATTTGGTATATGCAAAAAGACTGAATATGTAAAATTAATACTACCCAACTTAAAAACTAAAACATTGCTAATTTTGCTCTTTCTACTTGTGTTTCTTCTTTATTACATGTTCACTCTTGCAAATACTTTATAGGTTTTAATCCTAAAATCCCCATAAGGTAAGTTGTTAGTTCCATTCCACAAGTGAGAAAACTGAGGCACAGAAGTTAAGTATTTTGCTCAAGGTCACATGGCTAGTAAGTGGCAGAGCTGGGGTTTGAACTCTGACAGTCTAGCTTCAAGATCCATGCTTTTGGTTGTCTTTATTGATTTTTTTTTTTTTAGTATTGTCTGTTTGCTTTATCAATAAAGCAAAATATATGTGGTATTCTGTAACTTTCTGTTTTCAGTCAATATTTTGTTTCTAAGATTCATCCACATGTTATGTGTAGCTGACAAACATCTTATAATAGTCTATCATATGTATAAACCTTAATTTATTTATCAATCCTAATCTCCAATATTGGTGGACATTTGGGTTGAGTTTGTTTTTAAAAATATTTTGCCTAAGTGAAAAAACACCTTGTCCATGTTTTCTGGAAAATGTATGGAAGAGTTTTCACAGGGTTTTCAAACTTAGTTGACATTACATAGAGGGAAAAATATGCTTTATGGTCCCATAGGCATCTATACATTTACAGAGTATCCCCAATAGATACAATTGAAGCAAATTTTCCATGAAATAATGTTTACTTTCCTGTTTACTATAACTATTGATACTTTCTGGTATTTTAAAATTTAATTTTTTGAGAATACTGGTCTCCATTCTTTAAACTTTTTTTGTGACCTATTAGTGATTTGTAATCTGTTGTTTGGAAAACACTTCTCTAGGGTATATATTACATATATTACATATGAGTGGAATTGCTGCATTGCAGAATATACCAGTATTCAACTTTATTAGTAGTGCCAAGTTATTTTTCAAAGTAGTTGTACAAATTTACACACTCACCAATAGCATGTATCTTGTGGAGTCATATCTTATTCTCACTCAACACTTAGTATGATCAGACTTCTTAATTTGTGTTAATACAGTGTGAAAAATGATCTCTCATCATGACTTCACACTGCATTTTCTTTATTACTATTAAGGGTGAGCATAATTTCACATGTTTATATGCCATTTGTATTTCTTCTTATGTGAAATGCCTGTTCATGTTTTTTACTCATTTTTTTTCTTTTGTGTGTATCTTATTCTTATTGATTTTTAGGGCTTCTTTTGTTGCTATAGATGCTTCACCTGTCTTCTCCAAATTTTTAGTTTGCTTACACTTTCTTTATTGTCTTTTGATTAGCATACATTCTTAAATTTAATTGAATTTATCAGTCTATTATTTTATATTCAACACTTCCTGCTTCATCTATTCTGAGGACATGAAATATATATTTTTGAAAGTTTAACCTTTCCCATTTAATTCTCAAATCCACTGGAAAATTTTGTCTGTAGTTTGAGGAAGGGATCTAGTTTTATTTTTTCTCCCTTAGGGGTAGTCATTGTTCCAGCATCATTTACTGAATTTGCTATTCTTTCCTAACAATCTGCAAGGTCCCCTCTCGCATTTATGAAATCTCCATATATATGGGAGTTCATTTAGACACTATCTCTTTACTAGTCTGTTGATAAAAACATTTATTTTAAATGTGTCTATAAATTCTTTGGAGTTTTTTTTGTCTGTAGACAATCATTTGCAGAACACGATTTTTTAATTTCTTCCTTTTCAATTGTATTTCTTTTATTCTTTTCATGTTTTATTGCAAGAGCTGGGATCTCCAATACAATTTGGATAGAACAGTCATAGAAGGTGTTCTTTGTCTTACTGGTTTTAAAAACAACTAGTTTAACAGTTCACTATTAAGAATGATGTTTCATGAAGTTTTGGTAGGCACACTTCCTAAAGAAGTTCATACATTTTTAATGAGTTTTTGTCATTAATGGATGAATTTTATAAAATGGTTTTTTTTTTGCATCTGTTGAAATGATTTTATGATATTTCTCTTTATTCTGCTAACTTGATTTATAATTTTTGTGAATCTTCTAATGTTAAACTACTCTTGCATACTTTAAAAAACATTCAATTTTTTATGCTATATTACTATCTTTATGTTTTTCTGGATTTGGCTTCTTAACATTGTGGGGGGGGGATTGTTTTCCATGCTTGTGCTTTCTGGATACATATTTATTTCAAAGTTATTACTGCTATCATAGAGTAATATTTCAAAGAGTTATTCCATGTAGGAATCTCTCACCTCACCCATCAATTCACTTTCTCTTTTTGATGAATTTCAAAGTAAAGTATAGATACAATTCAGCTTACTTCAAAATAATACAGCATGAACATCATTAACTATTTTGCGAGTAGTTTCTTATTCTATGAAAAAATTTGATAAGTTATTTGAGATTAATCTGGACTTGGAGAATATTTTAAACTATCTATTTAATTAGTTTAATTATTTAAATACTAGGTCTTTTATTTTTGTTTCAATTTTGATGAACTGTATTTTTCTATGAGTTTATTCATTTGGTTTTGACTTTATTGGTATAAAGTTTTTCATGCTATTCCTTTATTATTTTTTAACTTCTGCTAGATCTGTAGTTGTGTCTCATTTGTCATTCCTAAAATTTTTTATTATGCATTCTCCCTTTGTTGTTGCTCAGTTTCACCAGATATTTGTCTAGTTTATTATTATTTTTCAAACAACCACCTTTTCCTTTTATTGATCTTTTCTGTTGTACCTTTGTTTTCTATTTCATTTATTTATGCTCATAAACATATTGTCTTCTTTCTTACTATTTTGTGTGTATTTTTAAAATTATTATTATTTGGAATGAGATTATTGGTCTCCATAACCCAAATATATTGAACTAATTTGTAATACAACTGTTCATCAGAAAATATAATCTCATAATCCTGAGTATACATGTGGAAGCACAATAAATGATGGCATGAGACTTTTTATATCCATTGGGATAAAATACAATTAAGAAATCTGTAATCTGTCTTGTTTTCCCCTTTTTCATTGCTGCTCAGTTTTCTGTTTATTCATACTCTTGTCCATCTTAAATCTTGAAAATATGAGCTCCCACATCCTAGGACTGTTTCACTGAAGTCTGTCTTAGTTTTAATGTCTCCATTTGTCCTCACACACACTAGAGAGTCAGAGCATCTTTTTGACATGTCTAGCCCCGAGTGGGAATTTTATAGTACTGATGGTTTCCCCCTTCATTAGTTTGAAAATTGTCCAACATATAAGGAGTTGAAAGAATAGTACAACTCCCCACCAGAATCAGTTCCATCCTTTCAGGAAACTTTTTCCCCAACTGGCTGCAAATCATCTGCCCTTTCATTTCTTTTCCAGATAGCAGAGCAGGGCTTGTTTCCATCATTTTGAAAGCATGATATGCTCTCACACATATGCAAATCTATACTTCTAGCACATTTTCCAGGGTGGATTTGAGATGTGCCAAAGGCAGCATTCCAATTGTAAATATTTGGAAAGTTCCAGTCCATTTATTTTTGTCTCAGTTATTAACCTCCAAAACAGTACACATCTCTCTTTCGCACATCCAGGTTTTATTGATTCCATCTCTCTGTGTTTACCCATGTAAATCCCCAAACTTTACTTGCTCTGACCTTTATATTAAAGAAAGCCTTTGTCATCCAACATGTTCTCAGCGCTCACTGTGTACTGGGCACTTATCTACACCCATCTACAATGGGGATGCAGCAGTGACTAGGGGCAGCAGTAGGACAGCTATCATGATAAGAACCCCCAAGAGAAGTACCCGTGAGCAGGTGGGGGCATGGGGAAGATGAGTGGAGAATTCCCGGTACCCTGAAATCCCTCAGGAAGCAGCCATTTGTGTGGACACCCAGAGGTTACCTCCCATTTGGTCCATTGGAGCAGTTGGTCGTGTTACTGAAAAGGCTCCAGGATATCAGGTGAGGCAGGTGGGTCTTGACAGGGAGAGGAACCCTGGAGGGAAGTAGCTCTGAGAGGGGGTTGTACCTGGCTCTGAAAATAGCCCCATTCTGCCCTTGCTTGTCCCTGCAAGGGCTGCCTTCCTCCCTTCCTCAAGGAACCTGTCACTAGGGCCCTCTCCACTGTTATCAGCCCTTGTTCCTCTAGAAGGTGGTATTGTTGAGTAAAGTCAAGATTCTGCCTTGCACTCAAATGTTTTTCTATTTAGTGTTGTAAAAATTTTCAAATAATCAGGAAAGTTAAAGAATTTTACAGTGAACATTCATATACCTCCATGGGTATATGAATCTCCATATATTCTATATTTGCCATGTCACTATCACATGTATAGATTCCATGTATCAATCTCTCAACTTACCCATCAATTCACTTTCTCTTTTTGATGCATTTCATAGTAAACTGTAGACATAGTCCAGCACACTTCTAAATAATTAAGCATGAACATCATTAACTAGAATTCAATATTTGGTTGCAATTCTTTTGCTTCTTATACAGAATTTATATACAACAAAATGTACAAATTTTAAGTTTACATTCACTGAGTTTTGACAGATGCACACACCTGTGTAACCAAAATGCTTATTAAGATGTATCATCACTCCAGAAAGTTCTCTCTTGTCCCTTCTTCATCAATTCCACCACCCAGGCACACTATAGATTCGTTTTTTATTTTCTCACCACAGATTAGTTTTTTTTTTCTCTTCTAGAGTTTATGTCAATGGAATCACACAGTATATATTCTTTCATAGCTGGGTCATGAACTAGATGTAATGCTTTGTGAGATTTATCCATGTTGTCATGTATATTTTTATTACTGAGTGATAATTTATTTTATGGATATAGTAGGATTTGTTTTCAATTCTCGTATTAATGAATAGACACCTGGGATGTTTTCAGTTTTTTGTTCCTACAAGTAGCTCTGTCTTGAGCATTCTTATACAAGTTTTTTTGTGAACATATGTTTTTTGTTTCTTTTAGGCGAGTAGTGGTAGTGAAATTGCTGGATCACAAGCTATGTATTTGTTTAGCTTTATGAGAAACTGTGAGAATGTGATTTTTACCATTTTACACTCCCATCAACAAGTAAGAGAGTTCTGGTTTCTCTATATCCTCAGCAACATTTGATGTCAGTGTATTTAATCTTAGTCATTCTAGTGGGTATATAGTGCTACCTCATCATCGCTTCCTTTTTCATCTCCCTGATGACTAATGACGTGCATTTTAATTTCACCTAAATGTTATTTAAAAAGTCAGTTGAACCTTCTTGTAAAATCCACAAGAGGTTGCCCTTAGTGATATTCCTCTATATATATTTTTTAATTGATCAATATTTTTTATTATGGTTTTGTGGGGTACAGTTAAGGGTTAGGTGTACAATTACGTTTCATTCAGGCACCCTGTTGATAAGAGGTGTTTTCCCATCCCCAGACAGATATTTGCTACTGTTAATCCCATCCCCCTCCCCCCCATAGTTTCCCAGTACTGTCAATCATTTTCTTATAGTATTACATTGGATGTTCAAGGTCCATTATATGAGTGAGAACATGTGATACTCGGATCTTTGTTTCTGTGAGAGGTCACTCAGTATTATAGACTCGAGTTCTATCCAGGTTGTTGCGAAATTCATGATTTTGTTCTTTTTTATGGCTGCGTAGTATTCCATAGCTCTAGGAGCTCACCTTGTGTCCAAGACTGTGCGGTTGCTCTTAAAAATAGGAATATCATGGTGCCCATCAAAAGATATTCCTATTTTTAAGAGCAACTGCACAATCTTGGACACAGGGTGAACTCCTAGAGCTATGTAGTGTATTCAAGCCTGACATGTGACTCACATGACTTGGGGTGAGTGGGTAAGATCCACTTCCTCCAGCACATGCAGTTCACAGCCTCATTGAACAAACAGTGTTCTATGATAAATATCCCAAGAAAGGTAGTTTCTGATAATACAGTCACAATCACCAGGTTTCATAGTAACAGCCCCTAGAATGTCTAAAATGTATTTTTCAACAACAGATGAAAGTTCTTTATGCCATTTGTTTAAATAGACTGAGGCAGAAACCCAACCTTCTAAAGCCTAGATTCAGACTAAGCATTGATATCATTTAAATGTTCTGGTAATTGGCATGTAAATAACCCCCCTCCCCATTATCCCTGTCTAAATAGAGGGCGATTATGAATTCCGCACTTGGCAGTCTCAAAAGCACTGCATCAATTGCTTGTTAGTTTCTCTTATGCCTTCTGATGAGGCAACAACAGCTACTTGGATTTTTAATTTTTAGTTAATGGGAATTTAAGTTATTTAAGTCTTATAATAACTTACTTCCTCAGGATGTGAGCAAAGGGGAGGGCAAGAGGTGGCGGTACAATGGGAAACCCTAGGTGAAATTAACTCTTTACCTGTTTGTTTAGGTTATCTAGAGGTTCATGATAGGGAGGGCGTTAAAATGAGCACAAAAGACAGAGTTGCATGGGTTTTTAAGAGAAACTTGGTTTGAGTCAGTTTGTGCTTGAGCCTCTTAGCTCCTCTGTGCCTCAGTTTCCTCATTTGCCAAATGGGGAAAGTGGAAATTGCTACCTGCTGAAAAAGACACCATCTCTGTGGCACTCCCTACACTGAGCTTGCCCACAGCCCTCTGATTTCCCTCTAGGGCTCCTCTTTCCTTAAACACTGGTGTCTCCCAAGACAGAACCTAAGCTTGACTGTGTTCTGCCGGTGGACCTTGAGCAAGTTACTGAATCTTACTGAGCTTCAGTTTCTTGAACTCTGCATTGAACAATTATAGTATCCCAGAACTTGAGAATATTGAATAATTCACAGCAAGTACCTAGCACAGTTTCTGATACATAAGGTATTTAATAAATAGTATCCTTGACAAATACTTTGTAACATATATATTTGATTATTAATATTTAGTTATAACATTCAACAGTGGCTAAGTGAATTATTATAAACTCAGTTGATGGAAATTATATGGCTGTTAGTGAACAGTATGTATAAGTACTTATCACAATTTATAATACAATAGTAAGTAGGAAAAGCAGGAAATCAAATTATCTCTATACCATACACATGGAATAAATTAGAGCCAAGCATGCATCAAAAAATACCGAAAAGAAGCATGAATACAGTCAGTGAGAGGATGGGAGAGATTATGTATACATACTACTTGTCTATGGGAAGAAAATTATTTTTGAAGAAAACAAACCCTCCTATTTCTTTCAAATGAAATTCTTCAGTGAGACCAAAAGAGTAATGATGGTCACTGTCTTTTTCCTTCAGTTTCCTGGCAGTTAACGTGGACACTGTCAGTGATCTCACCTTTCTGTTGAAAGCAGTGAATTTTCGTGAAAGGGTTCTTCAGCGGAGTTTGGTGGCCAGAATTTATAATAAGGTAAAGATACATTATGTTATGCTTTTCCTTTTGACATGTGTTTAAGGCATATCCTTGCTGGTGAACTATCTGCTAAATTTAGTAGAGGATGAGTCAGCTTAATTACAATCTCCTGGAAATGGCTAGAGTTCCTACAGACCACTCTGCATGATAGCCTTGCTTGCTCTGGAGGCCAGGATCTTAATGTTTAACCCCTATTAGGTTGTCTTTTAGAATTCCACCACGAGCATCATGTGACTGCCATGGTAGTTGATGAATGGAATAATTTTTAGCCTTTATTGGAATAGAAAAATAATTGTTTCATATGTATAACAAATACTTTGTTCTCTATGGGGGAGGGGAACGTCATCAGGCATATGTAACAATTACATTGGGTTAGTCTAAGATACTTTCTGTTTCCTGTTAAAATACCCATGAAGCTTTGCAAAAAACATAAGCACTTGTATTAGCATTGATAGAAATCTAGAGAGAATTTCTCCCAAGTATAGTGTCAGCGGGGTTGCTTTGAGGAAACACCACTCACTCCATCAATATCTGTTTCATCTTTGGATCCACCATGGAATAGCCAACAAGACCCCAGGAGAAGGCTTTACTCATTCCACTCTGTCCAGGCTTAGGGGCTCGGGGATCCTATAACCAGAATCTGAGCTGCCGTTCTCCTACATGGAAATTACGTTCTAGGAGGGACAGAATTGTGCCTCTGCAACTCTCCCCCTCCAGTTAATCCTTTTTCATATCATTGTTAATGTCATGTCTCTCAGTATAACATGGGGATAGGTATTCTCTTAGGAAATGCTTTGGAGACAGAAGAGGCCTGAAAGTAGAAAGCAGTGAAGATCCACCCTTGTGGAGCAGAACCACACTGAATGAGTACTTGCTGGAGGCTAGGCTAGCGGTTGTGCAAATCAATTCATCCCTCGGGCCTAGATGTGAGGTAAGGCACTGTCAACACCCAAGAATGCATTCAGGTTAGGTTAAGTCACTCCCTATGCCCTGCCCTTCTCAAACGTGGAGCCAGCCAAAATAAGAGAAGGATGCACCCAAAGGGGAAAACAATGCTATAGAAATAGTACAGAGCAGAATTAACAATGGAGAAAATGTAATCTGTGAACTAGGTTTCCAAGACTGTAGAGAAAAAGCTAAAGAGGAAATAGCAAGAGAGGATAACAGATACAGAGTGAAATGGTAGAAATCTAACCTATGGGTATCACATATTCCTGGAAATGCTGCAACAAAGGGAGCAGAAAGAATAATCACAGACATAGTAGAAAAAGAATTCCTTTAGTGTAAACAAAAATCCAGATGTTAATGGAAAAAAGATTCATACCTTGACATAGCCTAAAAATCTAGAATTTACTCACCAAATTGAATAAGTACTCTTCTAAAGAGGAAACTTCACTAGCTAGATTAACAAAGAAAAAAAGACAGACACCAAATAAGCAGCATCAACAATAACAAAGGTGATGTTATAACCAATGTGCACAGAAATACAAAGGGTTCTCAGAGACTACTATGAACATCTCTATATGCATACACTAGAAAATCTAGAGGAAATAGATGAATTCCTGGAAACGCACCTCCCCAAACTGAAACAGGAAGAAATGGAAACTCTGAACAAACCAATAATAAGTTAAAAGACTGAATCAGTAGAGGAAACAAGAGCCCTGACTATCAAAAAAAGTTCTAGACCAGACATACTTATAGCCAAATTCTACCAGATGTACAAGGAAGAGTTGGTACTAATTCTACTGGAACTATGCCCAAAAAATGAGGAGGAGGAATTCCCCCCTTACTCATTCTACAAAACCATTGTCATCCTGATACCCAAATCTGGCAAAGACACAACAAAAAAGAAAACAATCGACTAGTAGATGAACGTAGACACAAAAGTTCTCAACAAAATACTAGCAAATTGCATTCAGTCGCACATCAAAAAAATAATTCACCATGATCAAGTGGGCTTTATTTCTGGGTTACAAGGATGGTTCAAAGTATGCAAATCGCTAAACATGACTCACCACATAAAAAAGTTAAAAACAAAACCATATGATCATCTCAAGAGATGCAGAAAAAAAGTCTACAAAATCCAACATCCCTTCATGATAAAAACCCTCAACAAACTAGGCATTGAAGGAACATACCTCAAAATAATAAGAGCCATCTATGGTAAACCCACAGCCAACATCATACTGAATGTGAAAAAGTTGGACTCGTTCTCCCTAAGAACTGGGACAAATGAAAACTCAAAATAGCACTGGAAGTCCTATCCACCGAAATCAGACAAGAGAAAGAAATAAAAGGTATCCAAATAGGAAGACAGGAAGTCAAATGATCTCTCTTCACCAACAATATGATTCTATCTCTAGAAAACCTCATAAATTTCACCAAAAGACTCCTAGATCTTTTAAACAACCTCAGTAAAGTTTCAGGATACAAAATCGATGTTCAAAAATCAATAGCATTTCTATTCATCAATAATATTCAAACTGGCCGGGCTCGGTGCCTCAGCCTGTAACCCCGCACCTTTGGGAGGCTGAGGTGAGTGGATTGCCTGAGACCGCGGGTTCGAGACCCGCCTGGGCAGCGAGAC